AGCCAGTGAGGTAGGAGGGAAACCAGGACAAAGTGCTGTGGGGAAGCCCAGGCAGTGAGGAGGGAGGGAAGAGGGACGTGTCATACGGCCAAGCTGCAGAGAGCCTGGAGGAAGATGAGAGCAGAGAAGTGCCCCTGCATAGGGCAACATGGAGGCTTCCAGGGACCTTGACAAGAGCAGGGGTGTTGGGGACAGAAGCCACAGGGAGTGGATTGAGGAGTGAACAGGAGGTAGAGGCAGAGTGTAGGGGGAAGAGAACAGAGCTGTCATGGAGGACACAGGACCATGGGGTCCACAGCGAGGGACCCCTTCCCCACTGTCCTGGAAGGAAGGCAGAAGAGGTGGGCGAGATGAAGGTAGACGTGACTCCCTGAGGATGGCTTCTGTTTCCTCCGTAAAGAATGCAGTACCAGCTGAGAGCGAGGGGAAGGAGAGAGCTCAGAGGGTGGCAATCGGCCCTCCTGGGATGTGTCAAGGAGTATCTGGCCATTTATACACCCACTTGAGGTTCCAAGGGAAGCCAGTCCGCCTTGTGAGCACCGCTGGCTGTATTCCCTTCCTAGTCGTCTTCTCTTTGACGATTTCAATTTATTTGCATGTCTGAAATCACACTGCATATACAATTCTATATCCTGCTTTTTTCATTTAACGGGATGGCGGAAGCATTTCCCCGTATGTTTATAAACTCCGTGCAGACTTCCCATTTCACACTTGGAATGAATCCACTGAATGGACGGTCCGTGTGTCAGTCACCTCACCTTTCCCCCATTTGCTGGACACTTAAATTGTTTCCTGGAGATGACTATTGCTGTTCTGAGAGAGGCGGCGGCGTGAGGACTGGCGGAGAAGGAAGGAAAAGGCAAACTGCATGGCAGAGCCGGGCGTCGGGCCCTCTCGCGCCCGGAATTCCATCATGGAAGCCTTCTGGCCTGTTATGTGGCCACTGGTGCTCCTGCCAGATCACACACTGAGTTTTCCTGGGCATGAGGACGAAGAATGGGACAGGAAGACAAACCTCACTAGCTTCTCAAAGTGCCCAGTGTCTCAGGAATTGAGCTGGGGGTGGGGAGGGGTGGCAGGAAGTGTCGGGTGTGTTGACCACTCGGCCGTTTACAGCTTAAACACAAATTGCAACAGCCATGTTTGAGGTGGCAACAGGGCCTTCCCTTGCCTGTTTTCCCCATAATATAAGTCCTTCTGGCATCCCGTGATTTCTGGAGGGAACATCGCCCCAGGGCAGTGTCATGAATTAGTATTAAACGTGTTTGGGGACAGGATCTGTCTCAGGAGTTTTACAGAGCTTTGCCCTGAAGGAATAGGTGAATGTGTTGGTTTGCATTTCGAATGCTGTTACACTCCGAAGGGCGTCTCTGAAAGGCAGTAGCGTCTGTATCCCACAAGGCGCCGCGTTTCTCAGACCTAAAGAATTGGATTTGCTTTGTAAAGCACAAGCGAATCTGTTAAAAACTATAGGCTGAGAGCTGACAATGAAGTGCCCTCCGGAACAAACAGCTTCCCAGAAAGGACAGCTTCCCAAATGGCCAAAAGCAAAGCTTTTGTTTAAACCACTCTAGACTACCTGTCTCCATTCACAATAACCTAATGAACATGGAGCTTACACATCTCTGTTTAACCCCCCTGTTAAATGATAAACTTACCTTAGAATTTAGAAATTAACCTTTGAAAGACTTTGTAACTGTTTGCTCACGTAAATAGAATTAGTTAAATAATCTGTAGAAGCCTTCTGTAAAAGCCTTTTGAAAATCTGTTAACCTGAGAGATACTACCTGTTGTTATGTAAATTTGTTACCCCTGACAATTGTTCACTATTTTCTATAAGTTACCATGTAAGACCTCGTTCAGGGCTTTTTGAGACCAACGGAGAGGTCCGAGCCCCCTGACCTCCCGCTTTGCCTATAATCTTTATAAACTTATAAAGCTATATCTTTGTCTCAGTGTATTCTTTTATTTCTTCCATTTTCCATTTCTCTCTATTATTTTCTTATCCCTTGCAACTCTACCAAAGGGACCCGGTTTTTTGCAGGGAACACTGGCCACGTTCCCCGCAGGGCAGGGTGTCTGGGGACCCAGGTCCTTTCCACCGAGGCCAGCAGGACAAGGTCTCTTTCAGCTGCGTGAAGATGGAGCAAGGCGCCCAGGAAATAGCAGGCTCACCCACCCAACAGAGGCTGGGGGACCACTTGGTGGGCATATTTTCCAGGGACTCCACCCTGGGTGCAGGCCACTTGCTCTGGGGCTGGCTGAAGCCCCTTCGAGCTTTGAGGTTCTGTGACTCAGCATCACAGCTGTCCTACTGTAAGCCGGGGACAGAGAAGTAACCCCATTGATGGAGTGCCTACTATGTGCCAAACGCTGGGCTTCCTGTGCACCACCTCGCCTGACGTCACCACAGGCCAGTGAGGAAAGTCCTTGTCCTGTCTGGGAGCGGGGAGCCAGCAGGGGCAGAGCCTCCCCGCTTCCCCGGGCTCCCCCTGGGGCACAGGCGGTGGATGGACAGTCACACGGTGTTTCCCTTTCCCTTCGCACAGCCTGGCTTTTTACCTTAAGGGGAGAATCTTCAGCGGCAGCGTCAGGCACCAGTATCTGGTACGTGGTAGCTCTGGTGAGAGGCTCCGGGTAAGAGCCAAGAAGCCCAGTATCCCCCACCACTTTGGGCATCTGGGGGCAGAACTGGGGCCCAGAGGGATGACAAGGTCTTATTTGTGTGTGTTTGTGGGACCGGAGTTTCTGATGTATGATAATCACTGCCAGGCCTTCCCAGCTGGAACCGGAGCGGGCGCAGGGCCAGGGCCTGCCGCCTCCTGGGCAGGTTTAAGAGCCAGAGAGGAGGGCCTGGAGCCAGGGCAGGGGCAGAGGTGCCAGCACCCGCCGGGGGACCAGGGCTCAGAGCTAAAGCTGCTGCGTACCGACTGCCAGGTGGGCTCGGTGGGTTCTGGGTGTGGCCCCCTCTCTGGGGGATCAGGGAGATCCACTAAGGAAACCGCCGCTGGACAGGCTGGAGGAGGTCGCCAGGGCCGGGGGCTTGGCAGGGTGAGTACGTCTTTCCACGGTTCCCTCCGACCTTCGCCCACCGAGCTCCTCACCTGCGAGTGACCGAGTGACTGCCTGTTGCAGAGGTGCCCAGGTGGAGGCCGAGTGGCCACTTGTCAGGGATTCAAGCCCCCTGGATCTCTCAAAGAGGCAAAAGGGGGGGCAGTGATAAACACTGTCATTTATCAGCCCCACCAAACACCTGTCACTGTGTGTTATCTCCCGAATCGAGGCCAGGAGGAGGGAGGCCCAGCCTTAGCATCCTGGCTCTCTAGGTATTATCTTCTTTCACTCTTAACAGCAGCCCTATGAGGTAGGTGCTGATGTTTTACAGATGAGGAGACTGAGGCACAGAGACGTTAAGTAACTTGCCCAAGGCCACACAGCAAAGTGGCAAAACCAGGATCCAAACTCCCTCACTCCAGAACCTGTGCTCTTACCCACCGTGCTATGCTGTCCCATGTGACTGTGATGAGTCCCTTCCCCTTTCTGAATGGCAGTTTCCTTATCTATAGTTTGAGGGTGTAAGGCTTGACCAGAAAAATGTTATCCTGAGGTTCCCTGAAAGTACTGGGACATAGGTCACCTTTTTAATTAATTAATTAACTATTTTTAAGACAAAATCTCATTCTGTTGCCCAGGCTAGAGTGCAGTGGCACAATCCATAGCTCACTGTCACCTTCAACTCCTGGGCTCAAGCGATCGTCCTCCCTCAGTCTCCTGAGTAGCTGAGACAACAAGCACATGCCACCATACCTGGCCAGCTTTTTAAGTTTTTGTAGAGATAGCATCTTGCCACGTTGCCCAGGCTGGCCTCGAACTCCTGGCCTCAAGTGATCCTCCTGCCTCGGCCTCCCAAAGTGCTGGGATCACAGGTGTGAGCCACCGTGCCCAGCCCAGGGTCAGCTTCGAGCGCCTGGGAAACCTTGTTGGAAATACTTATCAGGAACTATGTGTGTGACCTTTGACCCAGCATTCAACTCTTCAAATTTGTCATAAAGGATATAATCAGATTTATGAACAAAGTTCATTACAGTTTTGTTTATAAGCACAGAAAATTAGATGCAAACAACACGTCCAACAGTAGGTTCTATGATGAAATAATATGCAGCCATTCAAAATCATGTGTTTAAGGGATGAGGAATGTCATTGGAAAATTCTCATTTGTTGTTAAGTTGAAAATGTGCTTTATAAAACTATATACGGCATGAGCATTTACAAATGTGTGTATTTCTGTCTACATGAAATAAATATAAAAATAAAGGACTGGAAAATTACCCTTGGGGGTGGAGAGTTTACCTCTATAAAATGGAATTATGAAAATTTTTATATTCTTCTTTATTCTTTTCTGGATTCCCCAAATTTTCTACAATAACAATTACTTTTTAATTAGAAAAAAGGCTTTTTAAAAAAGATTTCTTCTTTTCGTCTAGGCATATGGTCTCGAGCTTCTGTTCCAACGCACTCATTGGCTTTGGGAGGGACCTGAACTACAGACTGTCAGTCCTGTGAGAGCTTCTGAGATTATCTGGTCCAACATGTTACGTGTTGCATGTGGGGAAACTGAGGCCAGGGGTGCAAATGGGCTTATCCAAGGTCAGTCCTACAGGGAACCAGAGGCCCCAGACACCCAGCCTGGGCCTTAGGCATCTGCCCAAAGGCCCATAGTCCCCAGGCCAGGCTGCCGGAGGGAAGTAGGTGGGGGGGGAGCCACAACCAGAATTTCTTATGTGTGGCTAACATGCATTAGACGCTAACTGCAGGTGAGGCCTTGAATGCCAAGTTGCTCAAAGACCCACCCAGTAGTAGCTCAGCCTGGGAGTGACAGGTGAGAGGGAACAAAGGGCAGCTGGGTGGGCAGGAGCTAGCTGGGTGTGCCCAGGCCTCTCCCTCTCATCTCTAGGCCTCACTTATCAGCACTTCCTCCCCTGGCAGGGCCACGGACTCACTGCCCCCGCTGGGACAGGACAGGAGAATGAAGGGCCTCCGCTGGCGTTACATGCGGCTGGTAAGGGGTCGGGGGTCCGGCTCAGGCTGTGGGTTAGGTCGGGAAGGAGGGGAAGGTGAGATCTCTGGCATGAGGGGGCCTGGGCTAGGGTTGGATGCAGGCAGGTGACTTGTCCCCCTCTCAAGTCCCTCCCTAGCTGGCCTGGGGTTTGGAGTGAGGACTGACTCAGGAACCCAGGACCTTGGCCCCATGCCACATGGTCCTGAAACCCTCAAGTGGGACAGACCACTGTCTCTGTCCTTTCTTCCTGGGACTGGGTGCCAGACGGAGTTCTGTCCAGAGCCCATGCAGCTAGGCCCCTCCTTAGGCCTGGGCCTGGGGAACAGAGGAGGGCAGGAGAGGGCTCCTGTCCATCTGTCAGCCTCTAAGAGGTCTCCTTCCTATAAAAGCCCCAAAGCCACTACGTACAGGCACACGCACAAGTACACACACACATGCTCACACACTTAGACACACACTATGTACACAGTGGCAGCTCGGTTGAATGAATGAATGAATGAATATACCAGCACACATGCCCACTGATACACACATGTATTTGCGCAATCCCGACTCACACACTGACATGTAAACACACAAATTTATACTCCGTACCTTCTCACACTGCCTACACAACTCTATCTTAAGCCAGCCACAATTCACATGGAAAGACGCACATTTTACATGAACCTACATATGTTATCTCATGTGTGATGACGTGCCTCATTTTGCTGGCTGACAGGCAAGCCTCTGGGCTTCATTTTCTTCTTTTGTAAACCGATGATGATTAAGACGCACATTCTTCTTAGTATTCTTGGGAAAATTCAAAGAGATCTTACACAGCCAACACTCAATTCCAGCCTGGTCAAGTGTGTGCTGTATCAACGTCAGCCCTTATCATTGTCAATATTGTTGATACTGTCATTATTTCATGCACAAAGACACACCACTGCAGCTCCCAGGGCTGGGCTGCCACCTGCGCTTCTCCTCTGCTCCCAAGCTTAGAACTTGATCCCTGGCACCCACCCTAGATCCAGAGCAAACAGGCAGACAGACCGCAGGGCCCACGGTCGCATCTGAGCAGCACGGTGTGCAGGGGTGTGCGTGCTGGCCCTCAGCCGGCAGGGGCCAGGGAGGAAGCAGGCTGGCGGTAGGGGCAGAGTCCTGTCTGTTGTGGAAATTTCCCGGCTACCATGGGCTGGGCTGGGGGTTGCAGGGGCCTGGGCAGGGGTGAGGAGACAGCCAAGGGGGCTCTCAGGCTTAGAAGATGGTGGAAGCTGGAGCTTCTGTCCCTCAACCCACCAGGCCTCTTTGTGTCTTCACAGCCCAGCCAGGTGGAGGCTGCTCTGTCTGGGGAGGAGGGTGAGGAAGAGGAGGAGGAAGAGGAGGAAGAGGAGGAAGCAGCCCCAGCCCCAGCTTCTGCTGCTGAAGACCCCCCGGAGCCCCAGCTGACAGCAGCCAGCCAGGTTCTGGGCGCCTCAGAGATCAGGCAGGTTCGGGCATTGCCTGTGGCTCAAGGAGTTCCGCCCTGAGCCTAAGGGTCCCACCCTCCTGCCCTACACCAGCCGCCCCCAGGGGCTCCAGGGGTCACTCCTGCTCTGTGTCCAGCTCACTGCATGACCTCGGGCAAACCGTTTCTTCTCTTTGGGCTTTCCCTTCCTTTCTTGTAAATGATCCATGGTCCTAGCACCACCCTCTTCACTGGGCCAGGAGATTAAGGACATCATGAAAGAAGCTAATTCTTGTATAGAACCAGCCCTCAGGAACGGAAGCCAAAGCTGGTGCCGGCAGGAGGATGAGATGGGGGTGAGGAGGAGGGGCTCAGCATCTCTTCTGTTCTCTGGCCCCTGGGGGCCAGGGTGACCAAGGGGAGAGGGTCTTGCGAGAGTGCTGCCCTGGGTTCAAATCCCGGCTCTGCCACTTACTCCCTGTGTGGGCTTTGAGCAAGTTGCTCCACCTCCCTGAGCCTCGGTTTCCTTATCTGTAAAATGGGAATAATCACCCCTATCTCCATAGGGCTTTTGCTCATGGGCATGAAAATCCCTAGAAACAGCAAACTGCCCTATAACCTGCAAAGCACCATGCCTGGATGAGTGGTGGCTGTTCAACCCCAGCCCTCTGGGTCCCCAAGGTTGTGGGCGGGAGGAGGAGGAGTCCCTCACTCACCTCCAGCCCTGTCCCCAGCTCAGCTTCCACCTCCCCCCGAGAGTCAGTGGACATCCCTGGAGTCTAGTCTTCTGCACGTCGAGGGACGGCTTCAGCCTGCGGAGCCTGTACCGGCGGATGGAGGGCCACAGCGGGCCGGCACTGCTGGTGCTGCAGGACCAGGACGGGCAGGTGAGTGAGGCTGGGGCCCCCCTGAGGCTCTGGGGGCTCCCCTCCAGGCACCGGTGGGCCCTGCCCCAGGGCAGCCTCAGGGAGAAGGCAGAGGTGACAGACTGAGTCACCCGTGATGCACACATGACGGTGTTGAGGCCTTGCCACTCATCCCACTCAGACCCATTCCTGCATCTATTTGTTCAACACAAGTGTACGAACGAAGCACCTTCTACGTGCCAGGTTAGACGTGGGATAGAGAGAGTAGGACCAACCCAGAAACGGTTGCATTTACAAGAGGAACCTTGAGACAGCAATGCCTGAAGTCCGTCTGGTCTCCCTAATGGCGGAATTTCAGGCAGCCTCTCCATACAGAAGGGAAGTGGGATTGGAAGCTGGTTTCAAATGCTCTTCTTAGGAAGGAATGTACTAGAGCTGGGAGAGAGCTTGGGGTCCTGGAGGACCCCCACTTGGGCAGGAGCTCCTTCCTCAAAATGCTGATGGAAGGACTTCCCACCTGAAGGGCATGAAGCTCACTCCTTCCAGATGGAGCCCCTTGCATAGAAGAACGTTGCTGACCATGAGGAAGTTTCTCCTAATATTAAGGCAAAACCCTAATACTCCTAGCTGCCTCCCAGGGATCGAGCCTGCCTCTGCCACTCAGCATTGAGTGAAAAGTCATTGTCCACCTAATTATCTCACAAGAGGACAATGGCTAAGGCAATTATGGTCGCTCCATATAGCAAAATATTGGGCAGGTGAGAAACATGATGTAGAACGAAAGCTGTTATAAGTCTTAAGTTTTTCTTTTTAAAGCAGGGACAAATCAGCTGCATGATACAGGCCCTCGGCTTTGCGTAAAATACGTGCGCTGGTATCAGACTGATGCGGAAGGAAATGCACGGAAACATTAAGAGTAGTTACCTTGGGAAGGAAGAAAGGGGGTTTGGGGATGGCTTTATCTTTCTCTTTCTGCTTGCCTATACATTCTGATTTTTCCAGAAGGATTTCTTGTGTAAAATAAGCACATTTAAGAAAAAGTAGGCGGGTCCTGACCATGCGGAGGAGGAAGCCAACAAGAGCCCCTCCTTGCAGAGGGGACGTAAGGGTTCCCGCCGATGGAGCATGGAGGCCCCTTCCCCCAGCTCTGCCCCGCTTCCCAGGCGCCCCTCTAGGATGAGCCTACTTTACTGAGACTGGAGAACGGGGTTGCCAGAGGACTCCCAACTCCTTTCCAGCTGCAAACCACAAGTTCTGCTTTCCAGACCTTTGGAGCCTTCTCCTCCTCAGCTATCCGACTCAGCAAAGGCTTCTATGGTACCGGCGAGACATTCCTCTTCTCCTTCTCCCCACAGCTGAAGGTGATGTTCCCAACCTTCCATGGGGGGTGGGGTCTACGGCAGGACAAAGCTCCTGGGGTCCCAGTGGCCCCCAGCTCCACCCTCCATGCCGGGCTGCCAATCGTCCCGCCATCTTTCCACAGGGGGTATGCAGCAGGGCAGTGGTGGTCAGAGCATCCACCTAGGCCTGCCTGTCTTCGTTTAAAATAAATGCTCAGTAGATCTCTGGCCACCACCGCCTGGCTGAGAGGGGGCTGTCTTCCCAGGAAGGGGCAGGCAGACAAATGGGTCCAAGCGTAGGTAGACCTGGGGCGTGGTGGTAGCGCAATGAAAGTGGACACATCCAGGGGCTTCTTCGGAAGTGTGGGTGAGGTCGGAGCTGAGACGAGGAAGGAGGGGGTCCAACAGCTGCAGGGGGAGGTGTCAGAGCGTCCCTGCAGCGTGGGCGGAGAGGCCTACCGGAGAAAGCGAGGCCGGCCGGAGGACAGCGGGGCCGGGTCGGTTGGCGGATGGGGCTGTGGGTCCGAAGGCGTTTGCTCCGGGACGTGCGCGCCGCGGCGCAGGCCTGCGGAGGGAGCACGGGAGGCTCGGCCGGGACGGGGCTTCTGCCGGACCGGTTCCACAGAGGCAGAGCGGGGGAAGGAAGCGGAAGGGCGAAAACACAAAGCGGACAACAGAACCCAGACCGGGCGCGGAGGGCAGGGGAGCTGGGGCGACGGAGGGACGCCGAGGCAAAGATGGACTCAGCGGACGAGGGGTCTCCTTGAGGCCAAAGACTCGGAGCAGTGACAGCAGCTGAATGCTGTGCCGGAGACGGGATGCGGTAGCAAAGAGGGGCCTTTGAAACAGACCGCGCAGGAGCCCCACCCGTCCCTGGCGAGGACAAGTTCCCGGACGTGACCGTGGGCGACAGTGGCTGAAAACGCACTGGGGCGAAGAGGAAGGGAGCTGGGGGGCAGGGGCTGGACGGGGCCGAGCGGATGGTGACGGTCACCAGGGAGCGGGGGGCGGGGCTGAGTCAGAGCCAAGTCTCCGGTGAGTGGTGGCGAGGAGACCGGGAGTGACAGGCACATGGTGACTGGTATGGTCAGATGGCACGGGCTGCCAAGGGGCTGGGGCTTTTGAAGGAGGAAGGAGAATAAGAGTCCCAAATGCCTTCCATCCAAAGATTTTCTGCTTCCGGGTTATTTATTGAATAAAACTGAGTGCTACATGCTTGGCATGAAGCATACTACATTCACTACTAATAAAAATAATAGCAGCTAGGCCAGGCGAGGTGGCTTACGGTGGTAATCCTAGCACTCTGGGAGGCCGAGGCGGGAGGATCACTTGAGGCCAGGAGTTCAAGACCAGCCTGGGCAAAAGCAAGACCCCGTCTCTACTAAAAATAGAAAAAATTAGCTGGACATGGTGGTGCGCACCTGTAGTCCCAGCTCCTCGGGAGGTTGAGGCAGGAGGATCGCTTGAGCCCAGGAATTGAGGCTGCAATGAGCTATGATGACTCCATGGCACTCTAGCCCAGGTGACAGAGCTAGACTCTGTCTCAAAAAAAAAGAAAGAAAGAATAGTAATAGCAGCTAACGGGTACCAGTGTACTGCCTGCCAGGTGCTGTTCTTGGACTTTCACAAACTGGTGCATTTAGTCATCACAATAATCCTATGAGGTACATGCTATTACCATCCCCATCTTACAGATGGGGAAACCAAGGCACAGAGGCTGAGGAATGTGCCCAAGCTCACACAGCTAAGTGAGGATGAAATAGGCCCTGGAGTCTGAACTCGGCCGCAGCGCTCTGCTACTTCTCTAAACCACAGAGGGTCCCTGGCTTGGGATGCTGCCTGGCTGGGAGAGAAGAGATGATCACAACATAGAGTAGTAAGTGCTGTGAAAGAAGCGCAGAGGACGAACACCTGTGTCAAATGGGGATGGGGAAATCAAGGGAGACTCCCTGGAGGAGGAGCTTCTTGAGCTAGATCTTGATGGACAAATAGAAGATCACCAGGTGATGGAGGGTGTAGGGGTCTTCTTGGAGCATGTGCAACAGCGCAGAAAATGGAGAGAAGAGGAAGTTACATTTAGGAACCCAAAAAGATGAATGAGTGGGGGTGAGAGTGTGTGAGGTAGGGCATCTCCCTCTGCATTGGCGTGGCACTCCCTCAAGAAATACTTGTTCACATTTTGTTCAAGGGATGAAGAACTAGTTCTGAGTGCTTTTGTTTGCTATCAGAGATCTCCACTGCAGTGCACAGACTGACTGCAGACGCATGCACTCGCGCAATCACCTGGTCACAAGGAGCCACGACTGCCTTGCTAAAGGCAAAACACTCCATGTCTGCGCCCTGCCTCCACCACCCAGAATGCCTCCGTCCATCTTCCCAGGAAACAGGAGAGGGGTCAGTTATGCTGAATCAATGCTAGACACTAGTTATCACCGCTTGCCTTCCTGCGTTCCCATATCAGAATTCTGACGTTCTAGAATGTTCCTCCCACTGCACTGACAACTCCTTGTCAGAATCTTCTGCTAGTTCCTCCTCATCTCCCCAAACTTTTAATGTCAGAGCTCACGTTTTAGTTCTCGTCTCTTCTCTAACTACCCTCATTTGTGGTCTTGTTCCTTCTCAGAGCTTCTTGTGCCGCACATATGCTGAAGGCCCCTTTCCTGGACTCCAAACTCACATACGTCCAACTCCTACCTGGAATCTCCACTAGGATCTCAAACATGGCATTTCCAGCCTAGCATGTCCAAAACCGAGCTCCCGTCTCTCTGCCACAGAACCCACTCCTCCTGCTGTCTCCCCCGTCAAAGCGACTGGCATCTCCACCTCTCCTGCTGCTGAGACCAAAAATCTTGGGTCTTCTTTAACTCTTCTCTTTCTCTCGCAACCCCCAACCTGAGCTGTCAGCGAATCCTGCCTTCTACCCATATCCAGAATCCGCCACTTCTCTGTCCTTTGCTGCCATCCTGGTTCAAGCCACCATCATTACTTGTTCCTGCTATGGCCTCCTAAAGCTGCAGTCCCCAACCCCCGGGCTGCGGACCAGTCCCGGTCTGTGGCCTGTGAGGGACTGGGCTGCAGAGTTCTGCTGTCCCCCCAAGCCCCGTCCAAGGAAAAATTGTCTTCCATGAAACTCAGGAGCTGGCGGGCCGTACAGCAGGAGGTGAGCAGCAGGCAAGCGAGGCGAAACTTCATCTGTATTTACAGCCGCTCCCCATTGCTCGCATCACTGAGCTGCGCCTTACCCGCTCCCTGACCCTGGCCGTGGAAAAATTGTCTTCCATGAAACCAGTCCCTGGTGACAAAAAGGTTGGGGACTGCTGTCCTAAAGGGTCTCCCTGCTTCCACCTTCCGTCAGCACAGTAGCTGGAGTGATCCTTTTGAGAGGTAAGTCAGAGCATGTCACTCCTTGGCTTCCTTTCTCACTGGGAGAAAAGCCAAAGTCCATACAATGACCTACAAGTCCCTACACCTTTTGGCCTCTTTCTGATGTCATTTCTTCCTACTTTTCTTTTCTCTCACTTTGCTCCAGCCACACTGGCCTCTGAGTAGTCCTCAAGCATGCAGGCCCGCTCCTGCCTCAGGGCCTTTGCACATGCTGTTCTGCCTAGAATGCTCTTCCACTGGGTCTCTGCATGGCTCAGTTCTCACCTCCATCTCTGTTCTAATGTCACCATCTCAGTGAGACCTTCCCTGACGACCTGATCTAAAATGACAACGCCCATCCCCTGGAAATCCTTACTGCCCTTTTACACATCCCTTCTCTTCCGTGAGGCAGAGATCTTTGTCTATTGTGCTCACCATTCTACCCAGTGCCTAAAAATAGTGTGTCTAGTGCATAAATGTTAAAAAAGAAAAATAAACTGTTGAATGAAATGAATGACGTTTTCAGGGGGTTGCTATCTGCCTTTCTACCCTGTTATTATGGAATCCCATCTTTTTAAAAACCAGTTAATTCTTGTCTATCTTTGGTCTCTGGCACTTCTTGAATTCTTCATGAATTCCCAGTGGTTCCTTGATCTTGATTCCAAGCAGCACCATGAACTTGGTCTTAATTTCTTCCATAGCAACGTTTATCTTACTCCTTCAAGTCTGAAGGTCATGTCCTTGAAGAAAGTAGAGGAGGAGCAGAATGCTCTGTCTTCTTGTGGTCACTTGTTAATATTATCTCATCCTTCCTGAGCCCAGGACTTACCTTTTATTAGTGCATTTTCTTGCTAAAAACTCTATGGTTGCTCACAGCATTTCCGGCAACTAATTAAGGCAATAATATGCTATCCTTTTGTGGGCCTTTAAATATCCTTTTATTGCCCAATTTGACTCTTGGATAATTTATTCATTCATCAGACATTTATACCATGTACCAGGAATAAAGCCAGGAATCAAGACAGGCCACATGGGACTAACCTGTTAGTGGGGCAGACAGTGGCACATCGACACAGGAATAGAATCATCTCAAAGAGCGGTAAATGCTGCGGGAAATAAAACAGGGTCTGGGATGAAGGGCCACTTTGTATGGGGACGTCCAGGACATTTCTCTGCGATGACATTTGGGCTGAAAGATGAGAAGTGAGTCCTTTGGGGATCTGGGGGAAGAGCATTCTGGACAGAGGGATCAGCAAGTGTGAAGGTCCTAAGGCAGGATGAGCTTTGGGTGTTCCAGGGACAGAAAGACCAGTGTAGCTGACATGCAGTCAATAAGGGGGAGAAGAGATCAGAGAAAAAATCAGGCGTCAGAGCAGGCCATGCTTTCTGCCATAGTAGGGAGTTGACTTTTATCCCCCTTGCACTGAGAATCCATTGGAGGACTTTAGGCAGAGGAGTGACAATATCTGATTTAGATTTTTTTTTTTTTGAGACAGGGCCTTTCTCTGTCACCTGGACTAGAGTGCAGTGGGGTTGTCACAGCTCACTACAACCTCACACTCCCAGGCTCAAGTGATCCTCCCACCTCAATCTCCGAAGTAGCTGGGACTGCAGGCACACACCACTGCGCCCAGCTAATTTTTCTATTTTTTGTAGAGATGGGTGTCTCACTATGTTGTCCAGGCTGGTCTTGAACTCCTGGCCTCAAGCAATCTTCCCGCCTCGGCCTCCCAAAGTGCTAGGGTTACAGGCGTGAAACACTGCACTCAGCCTGATAGGCATTTTGAACAAATCAGTTGGATTGCAGCGTGGAGATGAGTATGGGCAGCAGACAGGGGAAGCGGGCAGACCACTTGGGAGGCTCTGATCCAGGCAAGGGGTGAATGTGGCCTGAACTGGGTGGGCAAGAGTGGAGATGGACGGGGCAGAGATGGTGGCAGCCAGGGCACATCTCCAGAGCCGCAGGACTTGCTGAGGAACTGGCTGTGAGGCAACGCCAGGTTGCCTCCAGTGAGAGACAATGATGGATTAGTTAATGGCAGTATCAGTGGCAGCTCCTGACCTGGACTGCTTCCCTCCTCTCCAATTCTGGGAGCAGGAAGCCTCAGAGGTTTTTGTTCTATTCCTAGAACGAAGTGACTTCTAGGCTGTGGGAATTCAAACTGGAGGGCATAAGGTGGTGGACTCTGAGACTGACTAGTCAAAGAAACCTCAAGAGCCCTGAGCATCTCCTGCAGGGGCCTGGCTGCCATTCCCTCCACGACACTGCCACCCAGTGGTGTGGAGTCAAACTGCAAGGGCAGGACTCGCCCAGTAACCCGAGCCTTTTCCTATCGCCCCAGGTCTTTAAGTGGACAGGAAGCAACTCTTTCTTTGTGAAAGGAGACCTGGATTCACTGATGATGGGCAGCGGCAGGTGCGTGTCTCTGTCCTCCCAAGTCTTCGGGGAGGGAAGGTCTGGTCCCTGTCTCCCGGCTGAGCTGCTGGGCTCGGCTGCCCCAGACAAAACAGAGGCTGGTGGTTAACTTTCAGGCCCTTCCCTTCATTGCCCAGCCCTCCAGCCCACCCCCTCAATGCCAATATTGAGGAAGGATGCATGGAAGCTCCCACCGAAGAGCTTAGTCTGATTTTATGTAACCTTGGGAATGGCACTCCGCATGGTTGGATGAGGCTAGAGTCAAGAGAGGGGTATGCCTCAATTTGCCAGTCAGTCCAGTAATTCTAGGGGACATAAATCATTGGAGGAGCCTGTGTGAGCCAGGGGGTGGGGCGGGACAGGAAAAAAAAGGGTGTTCTCACCCTGGTGTGACCTTCAAATTCAGGGGGAGTAAATCTTACCCTGAGGCGAAGATGAAAGCATTGCTTGATTAGTACCAGGCAAATTCTCTGCTCTCCAACTGCCTGAAAAGCCTCCATTGAGGGGCAGCTTGGCACAGAACACATCGGCTATTGCTGATTTGCAGTCATTCACTTCCTGGCTCCAGCCTAGGTTTTCTGTCAAATGAGGGGATTAGAATGGATGCTCTCTGAAGAATTCTGGGCTCTCAGAATTCATACTCCTCTGGTTAAGCACTGCCATCTTAAAAATGTTCCAAGTGTTCTAACACAGGCTTGTGGCAGTGGTTGCACACTGTATTTATTAAAATCACTGTTTTAAAAAAATGCTCTCAATGCCATGGGGAACAATGTGCTGAGTCTAACAATTCAGGATACATCGGTTTCAGGGGAGATGTAACACAGGCAAAACTGGGCTGCAGTCATGGTGTGGCCAAGAGCTAACAACAGGGGTAGACCCTAAAGGTTTCAGCATGCAGGAGGGAGCCACACCAAGATGTTCCTCTTCTCTTTAGTGGCCAGTTTGGGCTGTGGTTGGACGGAGACTTGTATCACGGAGGAAGCTACCCTTGTGCAACCTTCAACAATGAGGTGCTGGCCCGGCAGGAGCAGTTCTGCATCAAGGAGCTGGAGGCCTGGGTCCTGAGCTGATGCCCTGTGGCAGGCAGCTTCCTGTGGCAACAGGTACTCAGCGCTGCTCGCAGACGCCGTCCAGGCCTTCCTCACACAGGGCTGCCATGCTGCTGGAAACACGGATGGTAAAGCGCCCTAGTGTTGGCTGTGGCCACTGGCCATCCTCCTTGTGGCCTGGGGACCCAAGACAGGGATGGGGCAGGCACTGCTTTCTTGCAGACGTGACTCTGAAGGAGTGAAAGATGCTTACACCTTACCCAAGCAGCACAGTCTCTCATGAAAATTATCTTTGTAGAAGTTCTACAACTTACATATGTTTACTGTAGGAAACCAGAAGACATAAAAAAGATTTCATAATTACCTAAAATTCAGCCCCCCAACCCCTAATATTTTCATGTATCTCCTTCCCAACAATTTTCCATGGAGATTGCACATATGTATTCTCTTACAAAAAGGGGATTGTAATCTGTATGCGTGGAAATTATTTTAATTTAAAGAATATTGTCAAACCAGAAACCTGGGCTCGACCAGTGAAACTAATAAAGACTCTAGTAGCATCGTTCCTTCTCCTGCCCTATTGCCTATTCAAGAACATGGATGGCTTTTTATCTGTCACTAGTGTCCCAGGTGCTTGTAAATCTGCTATTTCAGGAGGAAGATATGAAACAGCAAACGAATAATATGCACATTTGGACAAAGAAGTGGAAACCTTTGTAGGCAGGAACCTCAGGGAGGTTAAAAAGAGAGGAAAGTCTGTTTTCCAGTACAACAGGGACTCGGAGAACTAAGAAAAACCCACGTCCCTTCCCCTGCTAGTGGCTGCCTGCTGCCAGAAGGGAAAGATTCTTTACTATGCTGTTGCTTGCCAGCTGATGAATGAGGAAAACTGAATATCATGGATCCTGTTAAATGCCTCCCCTTCTCATAGACCCAGGATAGTGCTGAGGTACTAAGGGACATGGGATTCCCACACAAAACGTGTTTCCTTTGCACAGAAGGGTCAAAACCGGGCAGGCGACTGCGAGGAAGCGGTTAAGGAGCACACCTGTGGTTTCCAGGTGGAGACATTCACGAGGCTTTATTGCAGCTGCTTCCCTCACCCAACTGAAGTAACCGGTCATTTTAACTTGCAGTTCTATTAACATTCTCAAGGTGACAATGTTCAGTAACTCTCTAGAGGCTAAGCTGTTAAAATTTCCATTTTTATACAAATAGTGAAGATGTTTCTTAAGAAAAACAACCTTGTAAATGGCACGTGGTTCTCATAATTACAACAGTTGCAAGAACACAAAGTGTAGCTGCGTTATAGGTACCAGAGAAGCAAACACAATACAGTCAAGTTATTCATCAGACAGCACAATGATACAAGATTAGGACTACATAATTCCAGAGTAAACCACAATGATTTAGAGGTAAAATAATCTTAGCAGAAGAATATTACATTCTTGACCTTAGGTCTGGGCACCCAATGTCTGAGACCCAGTTTTCTCCCCTGAATGTTTTAGAGGCACCTAGGCTAAGTATGACCTAATACCATGGTTGACCTCACTTGTGCGTTATGAGCCCACATGTGAACACGTCCCCACACGTACAGCATCGTGGTGGGAGTGAGAGAAAAGGGTTTTAACTATTCTCCCATGAATTATAGTCAACCCTTGTTATCTACTGATGGACGGATGGGTGGACGGAGGTGATAGATAATACAGGGTGGCAGACACTGCAAATACTCTTTAGCCTAGTGTGGATGGAACAGAACCTGGTTGTACAGTGGAAAGTGACAATACTTCTAAGACTGCTGGGTAATCTGCCAGACTGAGTCCCCGCTTCTTGCTGTGGCTGCCACCTCACTCCCAGTCCGCCAGGGAGGCTGCTGTCAAGGGAGTACCAGAGCATAGATGTTAGGGCTCGTGGCTTCCATCCCCACTGGCCTGCATCTTCAGCACCCTCTGGTTACCACCAGCCTTGGCTCTAACTGCAGACTTTGTTCCTGGTGAACTGCTGTAGAACTGGGAATGGGGGTGGTGGTGCTCTGGGCACAGGAATACTGCTCAGCCACGGTGGTGCCCACTCCACTGCTGGGAAAATAGTTACATAGGGGAACCTGGAATCTGCTGGGTAGTCAATAGTCTCAGCATAGGCAGTGTGGTCTTTGCTCTACAAGCTGTAAAATTGCACTGAACCAACAAAAACAAAGTCCTATCTCTGAGTACGGTTCCTGTGATGATTTCTGACCAGCTCACCAGGGAGACTGGGAGAGCAGGTCAGCGGAGAGGCCTTCTCCAGGCTGGGCAGCTGGAAAGCCCTTGGGACTAGGGCACTGAGTATTAAGGAGGGAAAGAAACTGCCCAGGTCTGAAGCTGCAACTGACTCAGAAAACAGCCTGGTTTAAGGGGTTCCTCTGCCACTGGGGGCAGGGATCTCCCAAAAGGTGGTTTGATGATCCGCTTAAGAGGAGGCCAGAGGCCAGAGGCTGCGGGCCAGAGGCCAGGCCGGGCATGGTGGCTTATGACTGTAACCCCAGCACTTTGGGAGGCCAAGGCAGGAGGACTGCTTGAGGCCAGGAGTTTGAGGCCACGAGTTTGAGACCAGATTGGGTAACATAGTGAGACCTCATCTCTACAGAAAATTTAAAAATTAGCCAGGTGTGGTGGTGTGTGCCTGTAGTCCCAGCTACTTGGGAGACTGAGGTGGGAAGATCGCTTGAGCCCAGGAGTTCAAGGCTGCAGTGAGCTATGATCACCACACTACACTCCAGCCTAGGCAACAGAGCGAGGTCTTGTCTCTAAAAGTATAAATAAGTAAAATTTTTTCTTAAAAATTAAAAAAAGAAAAAAAGAGAGGCCAGAGTCCTCAGACTGTCCCAAAAACTTAATCAGACCTCTCACCAAAGTATTGGAGCCCACTCCTGGCCCTCATCTCCTGCTATTTACCCCAACCTGGCAGCTTATAGGGCGTTAGAAGGGTGAGGAGAAGTGTCTTTCATTTATTTAGATTAAATATTTAGATCACTTGAGGAGAACTATCTTCAAATTTGGGGTGAAAGGTACCTCCTTAGGGGGATAGGATTTTATGTTTTGTTTTTTAACCATGTCTGTCCATGACAATCCCAACTTCTAATTCTAATTTGTCTCATTTCTAAATTAAAAAAACAAAAACACAACAATCATCTGTCATAAAAGTTCAGAGTGAGCTGGGTGTGGTGGTGTGCACCTGTAGTCCCAGCTACTCCAGAGGCTGAGATAGGAGGATCGCTTGAGCCCAATAGTTCCAGTCCAGTCTGGGTAAAACAGCAAGATCCTGTCTCTTAAAAAAAAACATAAAATCAAGAGTTCAGAGTAGATAAGAGAGTTCTTATTCTAAGAAAATAGACTATTAAAGGAGAAAGGCTTTAATTAATATTAAAAATAGGCAAGGTAATAGTTTTCATAGCATGTATAGCAAGATTTGCCTAATACCTTTTTGTTTGAGTAAAAATTACTTAGCTACAGCATGTGTATACATTCAAAATGTAATATAAAAATCACTAGTTGTCATTAAATTTGTGGAACTCTATGATTAAAGTCCCTATATTAATTGTGTTGGGGGAGGGTATTTTTCAATCAACCGATTGCAGCCATTTACACTGAACCATCCTTAAAAAGCTGGACTCTGGCTTTGAATGCTTCTCCGGTACGAGCTGGATTTTGGGCTGAAAGCAAGGCATTCCACTCCCGCTTTCGAGGTGTTATAAGTGGGGCTACAACATCGCCATCCTATTAAGAATAGAGAGAAAAACAGGAAACAGAGAAAAGCCAGTTTTCATCATTTTACTTCTTTTTTTTTTTTTGAGACAGAGTCTCACTGTGTTGCCGGGGCTAGAGTGCCGTGGCATCATCCTAGCTCACAGCAGCCTCAAACTCCTGGGTTCAAGTGATCCTCCTGCCTCAGCCTCCCGAGTAGCTGGGACTACAGGCATGCGCCACCATGCCCGGCTAATTTTTTCTATATATTTTTAGTTGT